GGCCATGGCTGGGCCACAGCCATCCTTCCTACACATCTCCAGTGTGGAGAGACAGCTCGTGCCACACTTCAGAAAGACTGACTTAGCACACTAGACAAAAGGAAAAGGAAAAGAGAAATGATCCAAAGTATTCACTTCGTGCTAAAGGTGAGTGTAGAGGAGAGATGAGAACTAGTTTCTGGAACCTGTCACAAATTCAAGGCATGAGTTTGTGACTTGAGGGTCACCCCTCCAACACAGCTGGGCGTGAAGCATAGCAGGGAGGATATCAGCTTAGGCATTTGCCAAGCCCTGGGTTCAATCCCCAGTGTCAAATAGCTAAAAAACAAATCAGCTCATACACATACAAACACACACACACACACATACACACACCAACCAGCCAACTAGATTGTTTTTATTTTTAAATTGAATATTACTATTTGTATTCCATATGTGTCTGTCTGTGTGTGCATGTGTGTCACATGTGAATGTTGACAGGCCAGAGTGCAAGTGCACAGGAATGCTAGAGAGAAGAGTACACATTGGGCATCAACCAAGTCCACCATAGTACCCAAGCTGGAGCAAAGGCTGCCTGCATTGGACCAAAGACATCACCATGGGCCTCTAGAATGACATCTGGAAGGGGTTTTTCTGTCCCCAGATAAAAGCTCCTCTCTAAGCTACTTCACACTAAACTTGACATAATCACTTTCAAACACAAGGAGCTATAGTGTCTCAGCATATGTGCTCTGTTTTGTGGTTTTGTGAGATATGGTTTCTATGTGTAACAGTCCTGACTATCCTGGAACTTGCTCTGTACACCAAGCTGGCCCAAACTCATAGAGGCCTATTGTAGGATCCTGACCATTCGGTCTAATGACCAATGGCATAGAGAGGTCAGCCCCGATGGGTGTGGCTTTCTCTGAGGGTAGACCCCTGGAGGAGCCGGGGCAGGAAGGTGTCGCGTGCTCCACTTGGTCATGGAAGCTATCTGATTTGGGCCACCACTCAGTGATCCTATTCACACAGTTTTCCGCACCTACCATATTAAGGCAAAGAGACAGCAATAGTACTTCCATTCTGTATTGGCGAGTGTGCTATTTCCATTCCATCCCTTAATAAATATGTCTTCATCCTAGACTTCCAGCATAGTTTGTAGTGCATCAACATCACTGCCAGGTTATCTGAGAGCTGGAGGATGAATGACCTTAAAGCAGGGCCAGGACTTGAATCTAGTGCTGAACTGAACCCAGTGTTACTGTCCTGACTGCTCTGGATCAGACTGACTGTTAGTGTCACTGGCTTATCCCTTTTGGGATTTGAAAGTAGCTTTGAGAATTAGCTGGTCCAGAATATGTTAAATATCCACTGTCATAGAAACTGAAAGGAAAATGGTGATCTGGGGTCAAATATGTTTGGGAAATATTAAGCAATGCTAGAGATTCCTTTATCATTGTATTTAATAACTTTGATTATGTTCAAGCTCTTTGTGACTCTTAAAAAACAAAACAAAAAAAAAAAAAAAAAAAAAAAAAACCTGATACCATATGTAAGGGTTCCCTAATTTAACTCTTCTGGAATTGGTTTTTCATAGAACAGCCACACAACATCTCTCTGTTCTGGTGTTTTAGAAAACGAGTTTCTAATGCCAATAAGTCAATAGAGGCCGTGATTTGGTAATCCCTGGCCAGTGAGTCAGAGGTATGAAGTGTATGACTCCTGCCTAGAAGAAAAAAAAGGCTCTAAGTAGCCTGTTCCAAGGATGAGCAATCTGGCTCTCTTCCCTCCAATGATAGCACCAGTTAATAAACTGGACATAGCTAGAGTCATTCCAGAAGAGAGAATCTTAATTGAGACGATGCCCCTACTGTGGGGACATCTTGACTGCAGAGTGATACAGAAGGGCCTAGCTCACTGTGGACCACTAACCCTAGGGCTGGTGGGACTGGGTGCCCTAAAAAGTCAGCTGAGCAAGCACCATGGGGAGAAAGCCAGTCAAGCACTCCTCAAGGGGCCCCATGGCCCCGGCATCCCAGTTTCTGCCTCCAGGTTCCTGCCTCAAATTCCTGCTCTGACTTCCAGGGATGACCAACTACAAGATATAATAAACACTTTCCTCCCCACTGCTTTTGGGCATGGTGTTTTTTTGGTTGTTTTTGGAGACACAGGTTCTCTGGGTTGCTTAGAGCCTGTCCTAGAACTAGCTCTGTAGACTAGGCTGGCCTCAAACTCAAAGAGATCTGCCGCCACTGTGTCCCGGAAAAGGGGCTGGTGTGCTAAATTCCGGCTGGTGTGTTGTTTTATCACTGCAACAGAAACCCTAAGACATCTCTGTGGCAAAATATAAAATGGCTCAATGTACTTTTGGTACCCTGGGCCACTCCTACAATCACTGTTAAGATTCCCTTGGCTGACGCTAACTCATTCCCTTGACCTCTGGGTCTCAGAAGGGTGGGGAGTGGGGGCAAGGTACATGCCAGCTTACATAAGAAAGGCAACAGCTAACTTACCAGCCCAATGTCTGACCGGCTCTCCCAGAGGCGCATCAGAGCCACTCTGGCCACATCTTCAAACACAGGGTCACCGGGAGGCTGCTCAGGGTGGCAAATTCCACAATGAAGGTCCCAATTCCAGCTGTACAGGTAACAGGGGTCTCTCCTGGGTTCACGCCATGAAGCAGGTTCGTAGTTCCATAGGGCATGCCCGTGGGGGTCTCCAGCACTAAACCACTCAGAAACTTAGGATGAGTGAGATGGGTGGGTTGACGTTAGGACCCCAAACTTCAGGTCCAATCAGCACTTCTTTCTTTTCCTGGGTAACTGTGCTGGTGCCAGAGAAAGGCATATGTCTCACTGCGGGGTGTGACCCACTGTGATGGGGTGACCTGGAGAGAGCTGAGCTCCCAGCTGCCACACTCCACACCTCATGTTAGCTAACACAACTTCTTATTTATTTTACTACAACAGAGTGTGAAGTAGGCAAGGCTTATAAGTTACACAGTGAGGCCCCACTGGAAGTTACTCATAGACTCCACCGATCAGGCAGTCTGGTAGAGGGGTCAATTTAAGATCCCTGATTTAAATGAAGAGTTCAGGGGACAAAATAATAATAATGTTAGTTATTATTATTTTTTGGTTTTTTGAGACAGGGTTTCTCTGTGTAACAGTCCTGGCTGTCCTGAACTCGACTGGTAAACCGCTGCATCTGGTCCACTGAGATCCGCCTGCTTCGGCTTCCCAAGTGCTAGGATTAAAGACGTGCACCACCACTGCCTGACCCCAAAAGTCCATTTTTTAAATAAGATCTAAAAAAATAGGTTACAAAACCAGACCACTGATACAATACAGGTAGGGAAAAGTCATGCCTGTAACAAGTGACTCTGCCCAATGTCACATAGACAGTCACACAAATGGAGTTGGAAAATGACTGTCCCTGACCCCCACCCTTTCAAATCCAGCCCAGTGCTCTGCCCATCCTACCCCATGCCTTCCGAGTCCAGGGAAGAACTCCAACAATGAGCCTAAGATAAAGATTTCCTTTCCAGCCACAAGGCAAGACACGGCAGAGCAGTCTGCACGTCACCGAATTGTGAACTAATCTGTCAAGACTTCTGAGCGCTATAAGGTCCAGACACTTGGTCTGCAGGAGGGATAAACCTGCCTCTGACCCACAGCAGGCCCATATAAACAATCACAGGCAAGAAGGGCTCCAGAGTATTTTAGGGCCAGGCAGGAAGTTAAAAGAAAGGGTGTGAAAATCCTCTTGACCTACAGAGGAGATACACACGGTGATGGCTTTATAATTACTCAATATTAACTTTAGAATGTGTATATTACTCAATGAAAATAATTTTTAAATAAGAAAAAAAACCAGAAGGCGCAATAAGGCAGTTTTCTCCCACGGATGAATCATACAGGGCATGATGTTTGTGAGGAGACATGTGGCTGTGAGCCATGGGCTATGAGACCTGAGCCCAGCTCACCCTCTTTGCCTGGCTGTCCCGGGGCTGAGAAACAAATAAGTGAGATGACCAGGAGCCAGTAAAAGGCACGCAACAGCAGTCATGTGTTTGGGTGTGAACAGCCCTAGACATCTACCACCCCAGGAGAGAACACAGTGTCCAGCTGATGCTGCCGAGCCCAGCGTTGATGACCCCACTGGATAAAAAGCATGGAGGCTTGGCTCATAGTTCTGAACACGGCTTAACTACCAAAGCAATTCCTGCCAACTGAAGTTTGCTAAGCAACTCCTGTCTAACCTCAGCTCAGCCTTCCAAAGATATATCTAGCAGGTACAAATTATAGTTGACAGAGAAACAGAACCATGGAGAGGGGAATGACAGGGTGGCAGAGAAGGCCTAGAACCTGGAGCCTAATGCTCAGACCTCAGCTAGTCCCTAGTAGCATGTGGCCTGGGGAGGGGGCAAGAGGGCTCACTCAAAATAAGTGCAAGGACCATGGAACCTGTGAGACTCACTTTTGGCCTAAACCTGCAAACAGTAGTAACATCAGTTTAGCCATCCTGGGCAACACCCCCCAGCAAATCCTTAAAATGCTTAGGACTCCCCTGACTTCAATAGTGGGAGAACTCTCCTGATTTCTATAGTAGATGGTTTCTATAAGGGCAGAAATACAGATTGGTGGTTTTAAAAACAAAAATAGGGGAAATCTCAGCACTGCTATTCTTATCTCAGCAAGAAAAGTAGATTAGAGCCAGATGTGTGGTAAACACCTGTTAACTCAGCACTTGGAAGGCAGAGACAGGACTACCAAAAGCTCAAGGTGAGCCTTGACTACATAGTAAGTTCTGGGGGCAGCAAGAGCTACATAGTGAGACCCTATCTCAAAGGAAGAGAAGGAGGAGGAGGAAAAGAGATGTCATTGTCATCTTCAGGACCTCCATCCCATCCCACCCCCCCTACCCCTCACCTCTGCCCCACCTCTACCTGGCTCTTACCTGGGAGGAGTTTTTCGGGCTGCTTCCTCAGCCATCCTGAGGAGGCGGTCCAGAATAAGGCCATCCAGCTTCCACTTCCACACCAGCCTTCTTTGACAGCAGATGAGCAGAAAGGAGTCCTCCTACCACTAAATATGGCAGAAAACACGAGAGGTCAGGGGGCCTACCAGTTTTTCTCTTGTGCAAACTAGAACTAGCCACTCTAGAGTGCCTCACTAGGAAGGAGCTAGTGAAAGTCATCTCACCAAGGCAAAGTGACACACACCTCTAATCCCAGTGCCTGGGAAGTAGAGGCAGAATTTGAGGGCATCCGGGACTATACAGTGAGATCCTGCCTTGAAAAACAAACAATTCTATTGGCTTTCATAGTGCTAAAAGGTGCTACACAAGCCACAGAAAATAGACTTACCCAGCAGAGGACCTTGAATGCTACAATTCTGACCTGTCCACCAAGGTAAGTCCACAGGTGCATCTAGTGGCATGACTGTTGTGGAGTAACCAGTCATTTTCTGATTAGATCTGAGGTTTGCTCCAAAGGGAGGGAATTTGTGTCTGGTAATATAAACTCCCCCATGTTTGGGAAGGTCAAAGGCTCCTAGTGGGGAACCTACTACTGTTGGGTTGATGAGCAGACACATCAAACTGCCTCTTAAATATTTGCTTGTGTACCCATAGATTAGTGCTACAAAAAGGAGCCTCTCTGAAAGCAGTCAGTATGGTAATGTTCCACTTATTCTCGGTGCAGAGATTCACAGTCGGTCAAAGTGCTGGAAAGTAACTGACTACTGAGTGCCCAGTCCGCAACAGAATATCTATACCAAACTTCCTCCTCGAGGTCAGGAAATCTCTCAGAAGAGGGAGTGGGATGAATGTAAGAGGCAGAGGATGGAGAGGAGTGCTGTGAATATGGCATGATCATTGCACTCATGAACTCAGCAGCTATGGTTACCTGTACAAGATCAGGCTAGCAAGCATTCCAGCATGAATGGGACAGGTGCTCATGTGCCTCCAGCTCTAGCGGACAAACCATTAATGGGCAGCTGCTAGGGCTTGGCCACTGGTAGGTTGTCCATGCTCCAGTGGACGACCACACCTATGTGCAGGCAGCATTTACTGGATACAAAGTTTGAGAAAGGAAGCACTGGGAGGCCAGTATGAAGAGAGATTTCAATCGGATATGACCCAGGTACATTATATACATTTATGAAATTATCAAAGAATAAATTAAAAAGGGCCATTGAGATAGTTCAGTGAGTTAAGGTATCTGCTGCCAAGTATGACGATGTGAGTTCCATCCCCAGGACCCACATAGTGGAAAGAGACAATTAAATTTCCCCAAGTTGTTCTCTGACTACACACATGCTATGTCACTGTGCATTCACCCACACCCATACAATAAATAAATAAATACAACTTTAAAAAATAAAATATTCTAAAACAGTGGTTCTTAACCTTCCCTAATGTTGCAACCCTTACATAGTTCTTTATGATGTGATGACCCAACCATAAAATTACTTTCGCTGTTACTTTATAACTGTAATTTTGCTACTGTTAAGAATCATATTGTGAATATCAGATATGCAGGATTTCTCACATGTGACCCCCCAGAGGAGCTGCAACATACAGACTGAGAACCACTGTTCTAGGGCTGGAGGGATGGCTCAGAGGTTAAGAGCAGGGGCTGCTCTTCCAATTCTCAACATCCACATAGTGGCTCATAACCACCTGTAATGAGACCTAGTGCCCTCATCTGGCCTAAGGGGACACATGCAGGCAGAATGCTGTATAAATAATAAATAAATGTTTTTCAAAAAAAGAAAGAGATGAGAACCACTGTTCTAAAACAAACAAAGGTCACTCCTTAATCCCAATTTTTTTCCCTTGGTGGGTCGTAAAAACAATGGCCACTCTTTGAAGCCCCCAGTACAGACCAAGATTCAGGCACTGCATCCCTCTCTGCAGATACAAACTTTAAGGTTCCAAGAAGCAAGTGGCTTTCCCTGGGTCACCTATGTGACGGGTGGCAGGACATCTGTCCCATTCTGAAGCTCAGCTCACTGCAGTGCCTCACTCTTCAGTCACTGCTGCACGTCAGGGGTGAGAAGACAGCTGTCATTACCTTCGTCTTACTTTTTGTTCTGATTCATCACACGATATTCAGAACATATAAGGAGACAGAGATTCTGTGCCTGGAAATAAGGCTGACCAGATACCAGGAAGTACCCTCTGATAAAAAATAACCTGGGATCCTAAGCTTTGGCTTTCCCTTTCCCCTGGTTAAGAGGAACAAGAAAAAGACAGGACTGGGCCAAACAAGTCCTCTGATAAAAGGTCTCTGCATGAAGTGGGCCAACAAAGAATTATATATCCTATATAAGAATGAATTAAGACCTTGCATACATCCATGAGTGGGCTTTAGGAAAATTACAGGCCTCAAACATTGGAACCAAGAAAAAGTAAGGGGGTTGTGTGGGAGCCAAAGTTATATTCTAAGTTTTAATTAAGAGATCCATGCCTAAGAGATCTGATCTGCAAGCCCCCTGCCCAAGGACATCATTACTTCCTGAAACGCTGGAGGCTGTTGTTAAAGGGAGATAATATGCCACTTGTTTTTGCTCCCCCTAAGCAAGTTCGTTTGACTGACTGCACCTGATGCGCTTGGTCACACGTAAGTGGGAGGTACAAAGGTAGGGAATATGTCAGGATGTACGCTTACCCCTGATTGGATACAGGTGGGAGGCACACAGGCACCAAGTACATCAGGATATATGCTTGCACCTGATTGAACTTGGTGGGAAGTATGGTGGTGGCCTCTGCAAAATGTGACTCAAGTCACCATTTTCTGGAACCCCTGAAATGGTCCTGGCCAGAGTTCATCACTCTGGCCAGTATTTAATTAAAGCTTGCTTCAAATTTGGCTCAAAAATTGTACAACTGGTCTTTCTCAATTCTCAGGTTTAAGAGCAAGATAACAAAATCCCCAAAGAGGTAGTGACTACCCACAAATTTTACAGTCTGAATTCACATGAACTGAATGGTCTAGAAAACCTCAAATGTTAGCATAAAAGTGGGCATTTAGGAGGCTGCACAGTTTGGGGTTTTGCAGTAGTAGAGATAAAACCCCCATCTTAAAGAGGGGTGTTGGTTTTGTACCTCAACTCACATGGCAGAAATCAATAAAAATGTATCTAGAAAAAAAAAGCCCCACCCCATCCAGGCCTCTAAGAAGCCAATTGGTGAAGTGAGCCTATAGTAAATAATACAAATAAGACTTTTAAATCACAAAGAAGCATGTGGAAACAAAGCTTGTGAATAACAACAGAGAAAGCTGCACCACACCACTTCAGATGATGGCATTTTCACTCAGAGAATGGAAAATAGTTATGAGAAATATACTTAAAGAAATGAAAGGAAAAGAGTGAAAAAAGATTGACCAGGCATGTTTACAAAAATACCAAACAGAACTTCTAAAAATAAAAACACAGTAATTTAAATGAAAATCACATGATTTAGTAGCATATAAACTATATCTGATGAAAGACATAGCAGACTTACAGAAAGCCAAAGTTATCCAAAGTATAACACAAAGATACAAAATATTCCTTAGATACAAGATCAATTTAGGGGACAAGGTAAGAATCTACTGAAACCAAAATAAATCAATAAAATAGATCCAAGAATCCCAAGCAAGATAAAAAAGAAACCCACATTGGTATACATTAATATACACACTGAAAATGTATACGTTGAACATCAAAAAGAGATAAGATCCTTTTCTCTCACTTAGTTCCTCCCCAAATAAAATGTTTTAAAAGTATCTATTGTCTGGGTAATAATGGATGATGCTGCATTCAGTTCAATGTACTAGCTTCTCATGGTCATGGACTCTTAAAATTTTCCAGAATAAAAATAATTTTAAAAGGACAGGAATAATGAAAATAAAAAACAAAAACAGATTTATCTACAAAGAAATGACCATGAGACTGACCGATTATTTGTTAACAAAATGAAAGCAGGAAATAGTGGAAACTTTCTTTGATAGACTAAGTAAGAGAAAATAATCATTAATAACAGCCATACATGCAGAAAAAATATCTTCCAAAGACCAAAGGAAGTGAGACAAAGGCATTCTTTGATAACAAAGCCTGAGAAAGTTTGCCAAGAACATATCCACACAAAGGAAAATTCTAAAGAGAAAAGATGGGTTGCACAAAATCAGGCCTGAGTCACTAAAGCTAAGATTTTCAGGACGGTGGTAAGGGGGCTGGGGAGATGGCAAAGTTTATAAAGAGCTTGCCCTGTAAGTATGAGGACCTGAATGCCATCCTTAACACTCATGTAATAAATCGAGTATGATGGCACACACTTGTAATCACACACTTGTAATCCCAGTGCCGAGGAAGCAGACAGGAAGATCGCTGGAGCTGAGGGGCCTGCCAGCCTTGCCTAGTCAGCAAGCCCCAGGTCCCAGTGAGAAACCCTGTCTCAGAACACAGAATAGCTCCTGATAAATAATACCAGGATCTAACCTCTGGCTATACACATGCATGCACACTTGCGCGCGCGCGCACACACACACACACACACACACACGCGCACACACACACACACACACACACACACACACACACACACACACAGAGAGAGAGAGGGAAAGAGAGAGAGGTGTTAAATACATGTGTAAACTTAAACTATAAAGAACTAAAAACATGGAACTATAACACATGTGTCAGGATATTCTCTGAATTGTGTCTATCATTTAGGAAGAAAATAAATTTTGATAAGTTATTTGTTCTATTTGCTGAGAAACTAATTTAGACTATACCATGAACAACTTCAACATTAATAAGAGGAAAATGGGAACTGGGTGTGGTAGCTCACGTCTGTGATCTCAGTGAGAGAATGGCTTTTACTTTAAGGCCAGTTTGAACTATGAAGTGAATTGTAATCCGGACTTGGCAACAGGGTGAGACCATGTCTCAAAAAAAAAAAAAAAAAAAAAAAAAAACCAAGACAAAACAAAAACAACAACAACAACAAACCCACCCAAATTATCGGGGTGTGGTGGTGTATGCCTTTAAACCCAACACTAGGGAGGCAGAGTCAGCCTGGTCTATGCAGCCAGTTTCTGGCCAGCCAGAGTTACATTGTGAAGCTAAGTCTCAAAAAGCAAAAAATAATACAAGAAAATAAACCAAACCAAAAAACCATTTCCATCATCCACAAGGTTCTACCAGGTAACAATAACCTCCACAGAAGCAGTTACACTTTTCTTGTTCCAACACCAAATAAACATTATTCACTCTGGGAAGGGACAGCATGGCCTGTCACTAGTCTGGACCAGTACCCTGAAAAAGGTGGCTCCTGAAGCCCTCATTTACCATTCTGGTTGTCAGAGACAACTCCAATCTCCTCTCATACAGGCCCTAGAAGGTGGCCCTCACCTCGGATGTTGGTTTCAACACAGAGGCATTCACGTCGATATCAAAGTCCACGTTGTCCTGGAGAACCTCCACCACTCTTTGGAATTCAGAGGTATTCCCCAAAATCTGGAATGAAAGAGAACCCTGACTACACAGCTCCCCTTGGCATGAAAGCAATTCAGATGCTGTTACAGCAACCACACAGAAACCCCTATGTGAGCAATTTCCTGGTCCATTTACATGGATGTTTATACGGATAAACAAAGCAGGGATCAGTAGGAGACATCAGCTGTTTGCCCTTTCTCAATCTTCTTTACCCCAAAGCCTCCTGCCACAGAGCCCAAGCACCCTTGGCTTCCTTTGCTTCAGAAGGTCACCATGTTACCATGCTGTGATCCTTGTGACATATACCTTTGGGAACAAATCTTTTCTTAATAACAGACACGGTCAGCATGGCTTTTACTCTGGCCCTGCTTTTCTGCCTTGAAAGCAGACATGATTTCTGGAGGGGTGACAGCTATGTTTCACCATGGGGTACAAAAAGCATGAGAATAAAAGCCTAATGATGGGAGGAGGACATTACAAAGAGCCCAAGTCTCTGGTGGCATAGTTGAGTAGCTGGCTCATTGCTAGAAAAAAATTACTTCTTGGCTTCCTTTTTCCTTTCTTTCCCTTTCTGAAAACTTTGTTTTATTATGTGGGTTTGAGTGTTTTGCCTCCACCTAAGTGTGCCACATTCTTACTTGGTGCCCTTGGAGGTCAGAAGTGGGGATTTAGATCTCCTAGCATTGGAGTTACAGATGGCTGTGAGACACCATGTGGGCGCTGGGAGACAGCTTTGGCTGCTAAGACCTAAACCCAGGTCCTCTGCAAGAGAATGGGGCTCTTAACCACTGAGCCATCTTTCCAGCCGCCAAACTATATGCTTAAAGGAAGGGTCATATTTTAATTCAGCTTCGTGGTTCTTCTCCATTTGAGACTGGTGGGGACTGAACCCATGGTCTCATGCATAAGGCAAGTATTCTATCAACTAAGCCATGATGCGAGATGTCATTCTGCATATGTTTCTCATACTGGTTAATGAATAAAGCACTGCTGGCCAATAGGAAGGGAAGATAGGAGGGACTAGGAGACAAGGAGGAAATAGGAAGTAGTAAGGAGGGGTCAAGATGGAGAGTCTGGAAAAAGCAGTATGCCGGCCGGCTCCCTGGTAAGAGAAATACATAGATCAGCAGAAATGGGTTAATACTTAAGATAGAGCTAGCCGATAAGAAACAAGTAACAGGGCCAACAGAATTATATCTAATACAGAGTCTCAGTGTATTGTTTGGGGCTGGCGCAGCAGCGGGACAAGACCGGCGGTGGCAGGCGGAAAAACCATACTTCTTACAAAGCCACATCCTCTCTTTTCATTTACTCAAGAAAAGAAATCTGTTTAAATCACCAGCCAAATGCTATAGATATGTGTCTACATATATATGTGTACATACACACATGTGTCATATATATAGATATATATACATGGAAGGAGAGAGAGGGTGTAAGGAAGAGAAAGAGGGTGGGGGAAAGACTAAGCTTGTTTGTTTGAGATGTTCTCATACAGCCCATGCTATCCTCTCATACAGCCCAGGCTAGCCTCAAACTCACTATATAAGACAAGAATGGACTTGGACTTCTGATGTTCCTGGGGCTGTGCCATCATGTCTAGTTTGATATATAATATTGATTTTTTTCAGTTAATATCATCCCAAATTTCCCTTGAATACTCTTCCTCCCACATCATTCCTATAATTCAGGAGAGGGTGATCCCATGTCCCCAGCTGTGGAGTGCATACTTCACTGGGACCAGCCAAGGTACCATATCCCTTCCCAGGGAGACTGTTTGGAAATACATATGTGATCCAAATCTGATCAATGAAGACTTACTACTTGGACTAATGGGAAAGGATGATTCTTTGAACATAACTGTTTCCTAAGCTAGAGAGTAATCAGAAAGGCAATAGACTGATCTACGGCTTATGAAGACTGAGAACACAGCAGCCAAGAAGGCAGAGATAAAAGGTGGAAGGAGACTCCGATTGACGTCATTGTCTGTCTAAATCAGGTCTAAGGCCATCCTTGATCTAGACTTTCTAGTTATCTGACTCAGTAAGTTTGTCTTCCTGCCTAAGTCAGCAGCAATGAGCCTCTGTTTGCAACCCAAACAATATCTGACTATCCCAACTCAAGCTTCTCTAGGGCTGGGAACCAGCCTACCTTCTGTCTGTCTCTCTCACTGTTCACCTCACTATAGTCTACCTTCATCTGCAGCAAAACTGCCCATTCCTCTCAAGTTTCCTGTTTCCTCCATCAGAAGCCACTCGCTCTTTGTCTTCCATTTATGAACCCAACTCATCATTGGTGACTGTCACTTGCTCTATGATGCCTCTCCTTCTCTCTTCCTCCTTTAAGAACCCGCTAAGAACTCCATTCACACTACTGTTAGGGTCTCTATTTCTTTCTACATTAAAACAAAACAGGACAAAAAGACCTTTGCAACGGCAGAGTCCTCATTCATCCTTGTATTTCCCCCAGAGTGCCAGGAGCAGTTCAGGGAAGCAATTACTTGACAAATGTTTGTTAAATGAGGATACAAATCTTTCTTCACATGGCAAAAATTTCATCACTTCCTGCCTTATACTTAAGAAATGCGAGCGGCTCTTCTGTACTCTCAAATGAAAGAGCATACATGCTGAAGAGCCTGCAGTCTCCACAGCCCGCATGGTCCCGTGTCACTTGTCCTCTCCCCACTCCCAGCAACACTGACCTCCCTTCCATTCAGTGCTTCAGTCTCTCCTGCCACAAAGCCTTTGCACTGGCCTGGAATATCCTTCTCCCGCCAGTTTCCCAGGTACCTCCAGCTTCTTCAAATTCCACCCAGTTTCACATCACTGCCTCAGGGCTTCTCCCAGCTCCTCAGTCTAGGTCACATAATTTTTCTTTTTTTCTTTTGGGTTTTTTTCTTTTATTTTTGAAGACAGGATTTCTTCTGTAGAGCTCTGACTGGCTGGAACTCACTCTATAGACTAGGCTAGCCTTGAACTCAGAGATCAGCCTGCCTCTTCCTTCCAAGTGCTGGGACTAAAGGGTACATACACCCCCATGCCTAGCCAGATCATTCTTTTGTTAGGGCCTTTTCAATACAAAGCTTTGGTCTGAGTCTATAATTACCATCCTTTGACTCTGTGTGTGTTTCTGGTGCTAACATCTCAAACTCCAGGCAAGCAGAGGTCATTTCTGTTTAAACTCACCATTTTGACTCCAAAGTTTAGCACTATGCTTGGTGCATAGTTGTCCTCAATATTATTTGATGAATAGATAAGAGCATACAAATTAACAGTAAACAAAAAATTACAAGACAAACCATATCTACATAGTGTATATGTATAAAAATGAGGAATGGCCAGGCATGGTGGTAAATCTTTATCATTTCAGCACTTGGGAGGCTGAGGCAAGAGGATTGCCTGACTAAACAATAAAACCCTGTGTGTGGTGCACAGAATGCAAACAATCAAGGACTGAGGCACATAAAATTAAGTTTAAGTCCGAGTTCTGTTTTCAGCTTTCTAAGTATCACATTTCCCAGCTATAGGAAATAATAAGACCACGGGAATTATTGGAAGGATTACATGGGATAATGTATGTGCTGTAATGTGAATAAGAAGTAATCCTAACAAACTGTATGGAAGCCTAGGTTCCCAGCAGGTAGCAGTACTTTTGAGGGGATAGGGAAACCTTACTAAGTGGGCTTGGCTGGAAGAAGTAAGTAACTGGGAGAGGGTCTGGGGGGTGTGCCTTGCCCCTGTCCCCTTCTGTGTCCTGATCTCTGTGTCCTATCCATCATGAACAAAGAAACATGTCTGCCACATTATTGCCCAAGCATATGGGGGCAAGGCAACCATGTACTAAAACCTCTGAAACCGTGAGCCTAAGCAAATCCTTCCTTCTCTTAAACTGTTCTCTTGTGTGGCCATAGCAATGATAAACACCGACTAATAGAACCTATAAAGGCCTTAGCACAAACCATGTACATGACACAGTAACTAGTGCTGTTATCACATTATCATTGCACATGGCTGATGTCAAAGTCTTTGTATCCCTCGCTGAGCAGTGCAAGTCTATCACAGGTCCTCTATAAATATTTGCTCAATGACTGAACCTGCCTAAGTTGGTTTTCTCTTGGAACTTGGCATTCTCTCCTGTGCAGTTGGGCAACCAGAGCCTGGTGGTTCAGAATCATGAGATAAAGACCTAGGGGAGGAATTTACTTTTTGCCCAAAAGAGGAAGGATGTTGGTTAGGCAATGATAGAGAGGGAAAGAAGTAGGATACTTACCAGCAAGGTGTCCAGGGCATCAATTAGCGTCAGAGAAAAACTGTAAAAAGACAAATTCCCAACTGCTTTGTAAGAACATCAAACACCAGATTCATAACTTCCCAGATCAGATTCACCCAAAACTCAAATGAGGCCCAGTGATGTCCCTATCTATCCCATGTATAGTTACAATAGGGAAACCAGAGAGGAAAATCAGAGCCCTTTGACTATATGATGTAGTCCAACTGTAATTAACATTTACCTATGTTTCCTGGCATACTTCCTTACCATGGAGGGACAGTACAAGATGATAATATATTAAAAGTTAGAGAATGCTTAAGGCTGTGTTACTTGTAACATCAAAAAACTAGAAAGAAATTACTGGTTGGTCATAAGTTGAATAGTGACGAACAAATTATGACACAAATACAAATCTATGACATTATTAAGAGATGGTTATCAGAGTTCTGCATACTAATAAGATCATGCTGCTTAATGAAAAACGCCATGTGTGAAGTAAGTCACATAGCATGATTTCATCTGTACTTCAAAAAAAAGAAAAGCCACATTATGGGCAGGACAGATGGCTCAGTGGTTAAGAGCATTTATTGCTTTTGCAGAGGACCTGAGTTTGATTCCCACAGCAACATGGAGGCTCACAACTACTGGTAACTGCAGTTCCAGGGACTCTAGCCAGGACCCTCCACAGGCTCTTGCACACATATGGTGCACCTAAACTCATGCAAAACAAACACACATACCATTAGTAAGATTTACAGAGCCATACTGACAGAAAGCAGATATGCTACTGTTAGGGCCAGTAATAGTAGAGAGATAATTTATAAGGTGTACTTGGGAATTTTTTAGGGTAAAGAAGTATTCTAGGGCTGGAGAGAAAGCTCTTCCAGAGAACCTGGGTTCAATTCCCAGCACCCACATGGCAGCTCACAACTGTCTATAACTCCACTTACAGGATCTGGCACCCTCACACAGACACACATACAGGCAAATCACCAATGCACATAAAAATTTTTAAAAAGTATTCTATACACTAATTGTGATAGTGGTTACTATACATTTAAAATAGGCTCTTTTTAATATGGAGTTTATAATAAGCTCCTTTTTTGTTTTTTACAAAGTTAAACTTTAATAATTTAATTTTTTTAACAAAGATACACAATAGCCAGGTGTGATATATACCTGCAGTCCCAGCACTGGTAAGGCTGATATAGGACTGAGAATTTAACACCAGGCTATGGTATGTAGCAAGATCCTGTCTCAATAAACAAATAATACATCTTTGCACACCTATATAATAGTATAAGCTGAGAATACTTGAGAATGGCATACAGGACAGGTTGCAGTGCCGACATTCTAAGTAATGAGTCATCAAGCTCAACTCTGTCCTGCTTCAATAGCCATTTGTTTGTATTTTTGTTCTAACTAAAAAGTAAAAAGAAAAAAAAAGGCACACGTTCTTGGCTTACTTGTCTAGTCCTTGGCATGCTATTATTTATAAATATTTGTTAAACAAGAATAACAACCCAGAAATGATGGTGAACACCTGTGTTCTCAGCACTTGGGGGGGGGCAGAAGCACCAGGAGTTCGAGGTCATTCTCAGCTATGCAGTGAGTTTGAGGCCAGCGTGAGCTACACAGAACACACACATAACACACATACACACACACACACACACACACAGAGAGAGAGAGAGAGAGAGAGAGAGAGAGAGAGAGCGCTCTGGATTATAGCCCTAATACCCAAGAGTAGTAAGAGAATTAAATGGCATGACACTGAACACGTCCCTGTTAGTTTCTGCTAATGCAAGGATTCTTAACTGGGTTTTTATTCTAGTGAAAATGAGAACTGTGACAATACAAGAATTACTAAAAGAAATGAGTCAGGTGACTTGTGTGCATGGTGGTAGGAGGAGCTGAGTCTGGGCAGGTGAGAAAATATAGAAATGACATGAAACAGTGGCGTGAAGACATACAGAGAATACCAACTACAGAGGACCTTACGTTTGGGGAGAGTAACACCCCCTCCTGGACCTGGGTGTCCACCTATAAAATGAAGGAGCTCAGTTTTCTGACTCTTGGGAGTTCTTTCAAAATATTGTGACTCCAGAAGTGTCCCCAAGTCTTCGTATGTGGTGCCTGTTCCTGCTGAGGGTGAGCCCAGAGATCTGGCCTGCCAGATTAAGCCAAGACTTTTTTGTACTGTCAAAACTGTGTAGACTCTGAGAGTGCTGGTTTGGATTGAGGGGAAGGGGTTGAATCAGCCCAGGCAGGAAACTTTCCAAAATCAGTGAGACCTTGAAGCCACCAGCCCTCCTAGGACCCCAGCCAACCCCCTTGGCCCTCAAGCTCGCTCTACCTGCCCCAGGTGTCGTGCCCGTCACAGGTGAGAGGTCTCAGCTCATCGTAGGGAAAGGCATTTTCCAGGTAACTGTCGTAGGCGTGGTAGAACATGGCCTTGACTCGCTCCCTGGTGCGAGGGATGAGAAATAAGGTAGGGGGCCAGAACCCATAACCAGGCGGGAGAAAGGACCAGGCACAGGACGGAGAGTGGGAACCACCATGTGATTTCTGCCGAGTGCCCAGCAGCGGGACCCGAGCACGTCAGGGTGGGGTCCTGGGGCGGAGGGAAGGGAAGGGGCCCGGTGGGCGCTTGCCATTCCCCAGCGTGGAGAGCAGGAGCCTGGCCCCCTTCACCTGTAGTGGGCGGGGTCGGGCGCGGTGCCGTCGGGGCCTGGTGCACCATGGTGCAGGGGCAGGAGCACGCACACGAGGCCGAGCGGGATGAGCAGCCGGAAAGGCATAGAGCTCGTGTCCTGTCAGTGCCGCCGCAGCAGCTGCAGCCACCGCCACCCGCTCATCCTCCGAGCCGCTGCTGGTTCTTCCGGGGATATGCACCACGACGCCTGCGCGTAGGGCAATAAGCCACTCACTTCCTGACTACAAGACCCAGGATGCAATGGGCAGTGGAACCCAGGCAAAAGAGCATCTCGGGATATCTACTCTAGAGAGAGGAGTTCAACGTGTCTTAAGGATAGTGGCTGCTGTTAGTGAGGTTTTTCTCAGTCCCAATTTCCGTTTGTTGAGCCCTTACTGCGCTGTAAAGCGTCAAGGAGCACTTTACAGGTGCTATCTAGTTTATTCCCCCCCCCTTTTAAGAAGGGACCAGCAGGGACTCAAGATTTGAGAAGATATCTATATGGATGGATGAAAAATGTTCAGCTTTGACCATTATTAGACACAGGGTTTCCCAAACCACTTCCCCGATTGTATAAGTAAACTCTAGAATTATTTTCCAAAGTCATCACTCTTAAGGTTTGCAGAAATCCCTTTTGTTCTAGGAATTCATAAAGTTCGGACATTGTTTCACTCTAGGATGCCTTGACATCTTGATCCTTTCAGTCTCTAAACCCAGAACTTTGCCAGTCCCAGTACCCTGAACCATCTCAGTGGCTGTATCCCTGCAGTGGCCGAGTGAAAATGAAGACCCTGGCACTATTGCTTTGAGAACATCTGGGCCACTTTTTTCCCCCCCGCTACTTTTCTTGCTAGGTCCTAGATTTTGTCAGCACGTTAGTCACAGCAACACCCATCTTGGTCAGTGGGAGTGAGCTACAGCTACAACCCTGTATTTGAAGTTAGATCCAGGCTTTATTACAACTGTAGCATTCACACACAACCTATCTACGCAACGCAAAGGAGTCTTTCCCCTCCTCTGGGCCCAGCAACCACGCTTATAAAAGGAAGGATTTGATTAAACGAATCTTTGAGATGCTTTAACATACACTTTTTCTCAATTCTAGGGTCACCCACCTCTTCTTTGCTGAAAACGTCGGAGGGAAAAGACTGCTCAGTTTACTGAGGACAATGCAAGCAGGCTTGGCCTCCTTTGGCCCAGCATTCTTTTTAACATTATTGTTCTTTGACGATTTCATACACGTATATCATGTGTTCTGGCCACTCCCCTTTCCCATTGCCCTCCGTCATCCTCCTCTGCTCTGGCTGAGTCCCTTCTCCCCAGTAAGCCCCTCCTACTTCTATATTTTTTGTGTTGTTCTGACACATAAAGTTTACTTGGGGCTGCTCGTGAGCGTAGGTGAGGAGTTATGGGCAAGTTTAGGGTTCAGCATAATTTTGTAAATTTATTTCGTTGTATATCTGAGGGTTTTGTCCACATGCATGTCTATGCATCAAATGCATGCCAGGACCCCCAGAAAAGGATGTGGAATCCTCTGGGACTGGAATTATAGACATTGTAAGCCTCCATGTGGGTACTGGGAATTAAACCTATGTCCTCTAGAAGAGCAGCCAGTATTCTTAACCATTGACCCATCTCTCCAGCATTCTTGAAAATATCCCTCAGTAAGTGTCCCAAAGTGCCATTAGTTGGTAAGCAAATTAAACTCCATATCTAACCCAGAGACACTGAGGTTTCTCTCTGTAAATTAGGAAAAATATTAATTAAGTTTAATAGGATTGGAGGATTCAGCAAACCATGTGAAATGCCTATAATACGGCCAGAGCAAATACTGAATAACTAGGAGACTATTATTGGAAAATGTCATGGAGAGGCCAGATAGAAAGAAGGCCATAGGAAACTGAGACCTGGATAACAACACAGGGACACTGTATGAGTTTCTCAAAATACTGTAACATTATTATCAACTTGTTAGCTTAAAACAAAAGAAACGTATTCTCCCATTTTGTCCAAGTTTGGGTTTTTATTGCTGCGAAGAGACACCATAACCAGGGCAACTCTTATAAAGGAAACATTTCATTGCGATGGCTGGCTTACAGTTTCAGAGGTCCAGTCCATTATCATCATGGTGGGGAGCACAGCGGTGTGAAGACAGACATGGTGCTGGAGCTGAGACCCTACCTCTTGATCGGCAGGCAACAGGACATCAACTGTCACACTGAGGGAGGCTTGAACAGCCTCCCAAGCTAGATCACAATATCATAAACAGAGTGAGGGGTGAAGCCATAATAGAAGAATTCTAATTCTTTTCAGAATGTTTGGTCTCATCAAAGAAGTATGAAATCAGTCACAAAAGAATAGTGGAAATGTAAATCTTGGTTTTATTCATTCTGTGAGTGTTGAAAGTTATGTTTTTATCAAAATAGGAAAAGAAAAATAAGAACCTTAACCATTTCCATTTTGTTTAGAGACACATATTTCCAAATCCATGCAGCCTTGCCCCACCCTTGTTGCAAATATTTCTGAATAGGAGACAAAAGCTAAGCTACAGGGCTTGTAACATGGGAAAGGTGCTTAGGCTGAGCGGACTTTCATAATAAAGGCCTATGCCTGGAAAATACATTGTGCCTATGTAAGCTAAAAAGTAGCCCTCTAACCAATAGAAATGGGTTGATTTAAGTTTTTTTTTTTAATCTAGCTAAAAACAAGCCTCAACTAAGGCCAAGCATTATATTAATAATAAGTCTCTGTGTTATGATTTAGTGATTGGTGGTTCAAGAAAGCCTGCTACTGTCAAGTCTTCCTGTGGGGAAATAAGAGTTTGGAGGGCACTTGGATCAAACCAGTACCCAAGGCCAATGACCTTGGACAGTGTATTGAATAGAGTAAGCCTCATATTGATAATTAGTGGGTCTTGATTCTATTCTAGTTTAGCCATTGTCTTTGTGTGATCCTGGGTGAGTCACGTTCCCTTTTAGGAACTTAGTTTCCATAGCTGGCAAGTGAATGGATGAGACTACTTCTCAGGATAAAAAAAAAAATGTTAGCACATCCACTCAGTTATTGCAAGAAAAAAAAATTCAGAAAACAGAAATCAAAGTCATCAACTACAGAAATCCCCTCAGAAAGACTCACGAAGCAAAGCACAACTGGGACAATTGGGACAGAGTTCCAAACAGAATGAACTGTTTGCCAAATGGAGGAGGAGAAGCAGGGTGAGGCCGAGCACGTATGTGGGGTAAAGGGGGAGGAAGACAGGGCTCAGTGTGTTGGCAGAAGTCTTCATACAGAATTTATGTCTTGCAAATGTATCACTCTTAGTTCTTTGTATGCACCAATGCCATTATTATCGCCGTTTTAAAGATTTCCTTAAATAGAAACACAACTTTTAAAAGTTTTATTTTATTTTTACATGTGTGCATATGAACGCATGTAAGTGCATATGCCCACAGAGGCCAGAAGAGGATATCATAGCCCCTACCGATGGAATTACCGGCAATCACAAACCAACTCAGGTCCTCTGCGAGTACAGTGTCCCCTTAACCGCTAAGTCCTACCTTCAGCCCTTCCAAGCACAAATTTTAAAAGTCAAAGAGAGGATTAAGTAAACAGCCATGTATTGTGCCTAATAAGCATGAGAGCTAAGATTTGGAGCCAGGCAGTCCCCATTCTGCCATACTGATGAGAAGAATAAAATCAGAATTTAAAGTGGCAGTCAGGCCAACTTCTACAGCACTTGATGGTGTTCCAGAGTCAGCATTCCCTACACTTCCATTGGAAAGCCAGAAGATGAAGTTCAGTCCCCGAGGTTGGAGGTTAGATGCCTTTGGCCCATATGGTGAAGTTTTTCAGTTGAGGACTAGCTGGGAATCCCTTTTCCAGAATCTAAAGGTCAGGAGGTTCAAGTGATTTCTCTCAGCTCCGGGCGCAGAGTTTGTGCACTACATACTTTCTCAGCTGCCAAGAAATAACTAGTTTATTCCTGGGAAGCTCTCCATCTGTTGTCTTGTAGAAATGCTTGCTTTTCCCCTGTGCCCAGCATGTACAAACATTGGAATGGTCACTCCCTGGCTAGAGTCCTAGACATGTTTTCCTAACACGTTCATGTTTCATGTGAACTCAGACTTATTACTGAATCAACAACTGGGCTGCAGTCTTTAAAAAACAGTTAAAATGATATGATCTATTATACACATTTTATCAGCTTTTTGGTACTGGACATTGAACCTAGGGTCTTGAGAACACTAGGCAAGCACTCCTCAGCCCCACAATGTTAGAGGGAAAAAATTGTTTAAGGGGTAAATAAATATAAAATGACTGAATAGCCGGGTGGTGGTGGTGGCACACATCTTTAATTCCAGTACTTGGGAGGCAGAAGCAGGCAGATCTCTGTGAGTTCTAAGCCAGCCTTGTCTACAAAGTGAGTTTCAGGACAGCCAAGGCTGTTACACAGAGAACCCTGTCAGGAAAAAATCAAACAAACAAACAAAAACCAAACAAACCCAAAAAGGCTGAATAAAATTGCAGGAACTTTCCATGGCATCGCTGCCATTGTAGGAAGATCCAATTCTTAAAAGAAAACCTATTCTTTTGGTGTTTTGGTGATGTCCAAAGCAGACGTTTTCTCTGCCCATTTGACAGGATGCACCAAGCCCCATAGCACACCAATCTGAGGAGGGGAGATAATAGTTTTGTTAGCCTTTCTGTTTTGTGGCTCCAAATTCTGCCACTTCTCATTTGTGCAAGAACAGAAAAAAATGTTTGTAGATAAAACAAAATAGACAAATAAACAAAAAAGGAGTCTAATAAAATTAAATTCTTTCAACAAAAGCTTGAATCTTGTTTTCTTTTTTTTTTTTTTTTTTTTTTTTTTATTGTTGCTGCCTTTTAAGCTGTAGCTATCCTGCAACTTCTAAGCTACCAGCAGCTGCTGTACCTTAAGAGTTGAATCCTGAGGGAATTCTGTTCCCTTAGGCACACTCTTTCATAGCTACTAAGGAAACTCACTTAAATCTCTTGTCACTCAAAAGAACTCAAGATTCAAAGGTTGAGGTAGAATCTTGCTTCCCAGAGAGGCAGAATAGCAAGCAGCTCACCTTTGCCAAGGGAAGAGCATGATTATGAGGCATTTGCAGGTGATCTGGGCATGGTGGCAAACCAGTTAACTTCTTTCTTTATTTTTATTTTATGTGTATGGGTGTTTTGTC